AATCAACCCAACATGAGCTAATTTAGAACAAAAATATTTTTTATTTAATAAAGATGGAAACATTTTCCAAACCTAACAGATAGACTAAAATCTTACCAATACAAAAGTAACAAATTTTCCAACTTTGTTTCTGATTTAAACCATGCCCTTTTATTTTTGGATTAGGGTATCCTGCTATGGTGTTCTAGTAGAGACTTTTTTCAAATTATTTTCGATAATCTAAAAGTATAGGTAGCGTTTGGTAACGTTTATGTTTCTAGTTTATGTTTACAAAATTTTTATAAAGCGGTTTTTGTTCATTTTTAAAAAAACATAAATTACAAACACATTTGGTTTGAACAAAATGTTTAAAAAAATTTAAAAACATAAATTAAAAAATATGTTTGTTCAGACTTAAAATATTTATATTTTTATTATTATTTATGACAATGGGATCACACATATTATAATTGAAAAAAAATTAATTAAAAAAATATTTGAAAGAAAATTAATTAAAAAATAATTGAAAAAAAAATTAATTGGGAAAAAAAAGGTTAATTGAAAAAAAAATATTTGAAAAAAAAAATTAATTGAAAACAAAATTATTTGAAAAAAAATTAATTGAAAAAAAAATTATTGGAAAAAAAATTAATTGAAAAAAAATTAATTGAAAACAAAATTATTTGAAAAAAAATTAATTGAAAAAAAAATTATTGGAAAAAAAATTAATTGAAAAAAAATTAATTGAAAACAAAAATTGAAAACAAAATTATTTGAAAAAAAATAATTGAAAAAAAAATTTTGAACTGAAAACGTGAACTCATTTTTTTAATTTACGTTTTTTCCTCAAATTTATAAATTGAGACAACGATTTATAAACCAAAAAAATTATCAAACAAGTCTTTATGATAATTTTTAAAATTTTTATAGATATAAACTGAAAACTAAAAACAGAATGATTACCAAACAGACCCATATTATTCATGTAAAAGATCAAATTAATCGCAATTCAATAACCCTATAATCATATTCTAATTATCTAAAAAAAATATCAAGATCATGTTAATCATTTATTTTTTAAAAACAAATATGCTCTAATTACGAAACTATAAATGTTCAATCATTTTGATATTTTGTATAGATTATCTATTCAATGAATCTTACAACATGAACTATTTAAATAAATTAAATTATTAAAACAAAAACTCAACACCACAGCAGGATCCCTTGGTCCCTCATTTCTTGATCTACTTTGTCCCTCTTCAATGCATATCTATAAAAAAAAATAATTCAAATAATCGAATAATTATAACCTTTTTTACTTTTTCACTCAAGTGTCTGAAAAAAATAAACAAATATGCTTTTTAAAATAGATCAGCCATTCGTTTCATAAACAAATATAATAAAATTAAAAATTACGATTATTAAATCGATTTAATTTTTCCATAGATGATATACACTGCAAGTCCTACAAAATGAAATGTTTCGATCACCAAAACAGACATGTGGTGATCCCCGTGAGCCCCTCAACCTTTCTAGAATGCTTCCTTTTTGTTTATTTTCATTGGTAACCATTAGATTTTGGAGTTGAAAGTTCAAACACAAATATGCATAGTAAATTAAAATAGATCCATACATCTTCCTTCAGAAATGTCCACAAGCACTAACGAGGTTTTGAGAATCCACAAAGGAATGAAGCAAAATGGAAGTTTCACACAGATGTTACATACAAAATCCAAATATGTTAAGGAGTTTAAAAGACACTAACCATCCTTTTACCCCTATGGACTGGCAAAGAGGAGAGAGAATGTTCAGAACACATCTACTGGGGCATTGTCTTCTGGCTGGCCTAACCGAAGCATCACTATTCATCAAAGCACCATGTAAACGATCATAGGATTCGGAAATGACATCTGCAAGTAATCCACATAACTTGACAGTTCATTAATAGTACTATAATATTAACCATGACAAAAATATATATATTTGATCCTGTCATCTTCCTCTGCATCATGCAGACACAGACCAAACCAAGAAGAGAAATGGCCACGAGGCACATTCGAAGAAACAGCAAGTTTATAAGCACTAGAAAATAGTTGAGAAATAAAGTAGGAAAGCAGTTCTCAAAAAGATTTTGAAGTAACTAATTTTGTTGGAAATAATCCAAAGCATTTGCTGTTGATTTTACTTGCAGAGTTACAGACACCATATGAGCTGAAAAAATAAAACAGGAGAGAGAGGTAGGGCTAATAATTCTTATAATTATTTTCTACATTATTAATCCTTAAGTTTAGGTCAAAGCAACCTTAAGTGGAACAGTTGACGGAACAGAGATTTTACGTGTTAAATTTATTAGCCATCTTCACTTTCAACCTTTACACATTCTTCTCTCTGTCTCTCTCTCCAAAAGAAGCACTCAAACAATAAGCCATCATAACAATTGTTGATAATGTAATAAGTATATACACTATTATATATCAATATTATCTTAATTATTTTTACTAAAAATCAATGTATAAAAAACGTAAAATAAATTTTAAGAAATATTTTTTTGTAATTGTTTATAATTTATTATTTTTTGTAATTTTAATATCTATATTTTTTATACTTACAAAACTATGTAGCACGGACACGGGACACGACACGGACACGGACACGCGGAAAGCAATTTTAAAAAAATAGGGGACACGACACACTGGGGACACGTTTAATATATATAATTTTATTTATTTATTATGTCTAAAATAAAAATAAAATCATTAATTCTTATACAATCAAAATATAATAAAATTAATAAATATATTTTTAAAAAAATTAATTAAAAAATGAGTTTTTTTAAATAAAAATAATTTATTTTATGAATTTTAAGTTTAACATAAAAATAAGGATAAAGAAAAGAAAAAAGAAAAAAAAGAGGGGGAGAGAGAAACGTTGAATCAAAGAGAAGAAAAAAAATATAAAGGAGAAAAGATAGAGGAGAGAGAAAGTGAAGTCAAAAAGGCAAAGGGAAAGAGACTCAGAAAAGGGAGAGACAAAAGGGAGGAGGAGAGGAAAAAATAAAGAGGAGAAGAAGAACAGAGATGATGGAGACAGAGAAGACGAAGAGAAGAAGGAAAAGAAGAGAAGAAGAAGAATACCTCAGCTTCAGCTTCTTGGATCTGAATAGGTTAGCTTCTCCTCTCCTTGATCTCTTTCTCTCTCTGTCTTCTCTCCTCCCTCGATCTCTCTCTCTTTCTTTGTCTCCCTCGATCTCTTCCTCTTTCTCTGTCTTCCTCGATCCCTTTCTCTCTTTCTCTGTCGATCAAGGAAAACAGTTAGGGCTTCTTCGATCCACCTCACGAGTGTTCGAAAAGTGTCCCGCCGTGTCCATGGCGTGTCCGATTGGAAGATTTCAAAAAAAAAAAAGGAGACACGTTAGAGAGAGTGTCGGACACGTGTCTACCGCGTGTCCGATGCGTGTCCGTGTCCGACATGTGTCCAACACTCGTATGCAGAACCTGGGAACATGTCGGTGCTTCATAGCTTACAAATATATTTATGACATAATTATGACATCAAGGTTCAATTCCGGTTCACCCGTTGAACCAGTGACTCATTTACCCGGTCGCTTTTCCGGTTCGCTCACCAGTTTGGTTTTCAAAACATTCTCTCTCTCTCTCTCTCTCTCTCTCT